CTAAACAAGCAAATTTTGAGAGTACATTTTTTTTCCTTGATCTAGGATCAAGGCATAGGAAGGAAGGACAAAATTTTGTTTCTGTAGTCTGGCTAGTATTCCCAGTACTTCTAATTTGTTATTAAACAGCTCGGAGTAAACCACACCAAGCAGCTGCTCTCATGAAAGGGCAGATTTAAGTTTTATAAACATGACTCCCTATACTTTTGCTACTCTTCATACAGCAGAGTGGCAAGTTTGTCACAGCTTCAGCTGAACTGAGTATTTCAAACACTACCTGAACAAAATAAAGCTAGGCAGAAAAACTGAGTCTGATTTGATCCTTACAAACACAGACAATCTTAAAGATTTATTGTCTATCATTCTTAACATTCTCCATTAGACTTTGGTCCAGATCTAACCTCAAAAGACTACAAATAGTATTTCCCAGAAATCCAGAATTTCAGTTTCACAGACATTAACTTCCTCCAACAATAGGAGTAGGAAAAAAAGCCATAACCCAAAACAACAACAACAAAAATCACCCAATCCATAGCCTTTAAAGAGCCTCTGTCCTATCATACCAGATTCAAACAGCTTGCAGAGATTTTCTTTCTGAATAGATTATCTTTCCATTTTGCAAAACTGCTGCAATTCAGATCAGAGGCCCCTAGCGTAATAAGCCTTGTCAGCTCACACAAGGAGGCTACTGTAAACACAATGAAAAAACCTCCACGCTTCATCACCAGAAGATGACTCAACACTGAAAAACGTCTTACACTGAAAAATGGAAGCTGCAATGAAAGATTTGAAGAGCTCAAGAACATCCTTTCAAGTGCACGTCAAAGTTACACAAGGCACCTGGCAGCACTCAGAAGGCTTGTTTTGCAGGAGCTGCTGCAGACCAGCTGACCATGCAGGAGAAGCTGTTCCTTGTCCATGGCTTACTGCAAACTGACCATCAATCTAACAACATGAAGCCACGTCAGTACTTCCATCGCAACTCTAACAGCATACACCTTTGCAAGCAGACTAATTCCACCTTCAGCTACTATTACTCAGCAGGCCAGCCTGAAAGGTCAGCTTAAGCTCCCCCCTCCCTAGCAGGAGTTCGGCACACAGATCTTATCTATCTCCCACACACAGGATTTGTAGCCCTGTCAAAAGAGTATTGCCATTGCTATCAGCAGACCACAGGCCTCAGGCTGCCCAAGAAACACTGCCTAAGGACTTGCAATCTGTCCTCTAGGCGTCTCTCAGTCTGCACTTATTTTTTGA